AAATGTGGGGAATTGATATTCTTAATGCAGAAAACTTTAATAAAAGTTTAATCAATTTTGAAGAAGATAAAAAACCTAATGATGGTGAGGATGAAGACTCTTCTGAGAGTGAATCAGAAGAAAAGGAAATTAAAAAAGAGACTAAAAAAAATAGATTATCTCGGTTTGATTGCATCGCTGCTTTATTTGCCTCGGCCGAATGTACTGTAGTTCAAGATATATTTCGAACTATATCTCAATTTTCTATTGCAATTCCTTTATTGATGCCTGAATTAAATGACTCAGAAAAGTACAAAGTAATGTTTCCTTTACTTACGGGACCAGTCATTAAATGGGAAACAAGCAATGGAACGATTATAGAAAATTATCTTTTCAAAGATCCCTTTAAAATGATTGCTGCAGTCCGAATTGGAACGAATTCTAAAGGTAAAAGTACAGTACTATAATTAATCGGTTGATGAAATCAAACTATATGTTCACGTCACGTACTGAACCAAGAGCAAAATATGGAATTTCACATATGGTTAGGGGAAGTATTGAGTTCATTGGCTAACTGAAGAGACTTGTGGTGAATCCCTGTGGAGTGAAGTTTTTAAAGATTATTATGAAAAAAGTGAACATGAAGAAAAAAGTGAACATGATAAAAAAAAGGAACATTATATAAAAAGGGAAAGAGAGATCGTACTGCTAGCAAATTTACATGGTGATGCATTAGATTTCCCTGATCAAATCGAATTCTTAAAGCAATTTTCTTCTTGTTTCCTAGTTTATTTAATGCCTGGACAGAACAAAGATAAGTTTGAAATTTTAGTTAACCCTAAGAAAGCGATATATATTTATGTGGATCCTAAAAAAAAAAAAGGTATCGAAAAGAAGTACATAGTTAAAACAAAATATTTGGATGATCACGATACAATAAAGAAAATGTGCGAAAATTTTAATGAAGCGTTAGTATTAGATGATCAGATAATTACAATAGATGCTGACGAAATAAAAATGGGAAAAACGCTTCAATTTGCTGGAAATACCGAGTTTGTTGAATCTAGCTATCTAGTAAATTTTATTAAGGAAATAACTTGTCTCAACATTAAACGAAATGTTATGCAGCTTCAAAAAAAACAATTAGAAAATGGATTCAACCACATAAAATTTTGGCAACAAACAAGTGAGTTACGAATGTTAATTATGCTATTCGCCAATATTTTATCCCTACAATCTATCAATAAAAGAAGACAAGCTCTAGCACATCTTGAAAGAGAAGTATCCAGGCTTTCTATGGAAGAGTCTTCTAAATCTCGAAATAAAGCTATATTGAAAAGAAAAGAATTAAATAATGCAGGCATTAAAGTTGATAAAGAAAGGGATAAAAGGATTCGAAAAGAAATTAAAGAACTTTGGGAAGAAGTTGACAACAAAAGTTTGGGCATAGAACATTTTTTCCGTGAATTAGGACATATTTATAAAATGTTTATTTCTGATTCAGACGATAATCCAAAAATTATTTCTGCCAGCCCATCTAAAGAAAATATTTTGAAATTACCTGAATATTATGCTGAACTACTAATTAGCGGCAATACGATAGAATTGCTTGATGGTGATTCTATAACCATAAATGAAGCATGGTTGTTAGCGATTTGTAATTGCATTGATAAACGATTTCCGAAGCTTAGGATTTTTGTAATCAGTATACTTGGATTACAATCTTCTGGAAAGTCCACCCTTCTAAATGCACTTTTTGCATGCAAATTTGCTGTCTCAGTTGGGCGTTGTACAAGAGGACTCTTTATGCGATTATTATTTTTGGATAAAGATTTATCTGATCAACTTGATGTTGATGCTTTTATCTTGATTGACACGGAAGGACTTGGTGCACCTGAGAAAATGGATGAAATAGAATCAGAAAAGAAAGATCGGATGTTAGCAACTTTTGCAATGGGAATAAGCAATTTAACGATTCTTAACGTATTAGGAGAAACAATGAATGAGTTGACTGAAATATTGCAGATAGCAATTGTGACAATGGCACGTCTTGAAAAAGTTGGCATGTCTCCTGATATAATTATGGTACAACATGTTTCAGAAAGGAATGCGTCGAAATTAAGTGAGCCAGAGCAAAAATTTCTGAATGCACTTCAAAAAGCTTTGGAAATAGTCAAAGAAAAAGACGGCGATATAGGGTCACAAAATCTTGAATGTCTTGGCATTCTTGATGCAAGATTAAAAAAGGGACAACTCCTCAAACTATTTTCTTCATTTAAAGATGGGGCAACCGTTTATTCTCCCCAATCGAAACAATATCATAAGAACGTTATTGATTTGTATAATTCTGTAATTGTTGATTGCAAAAATCAAAAAGAAAAAAAAAACTTTTCAGACTGGCACAAATTAATCAAAAGCTATTGGGATGCAATATCTCACGAGGATTTTGCTCTAAGGTTCAAAAATATAAAGGAAATTTATGAATTTATTGACCTTGATAAACAAATCACAATGCTGAAAGGAACTATTGACATATCATTTTCAGCACATAAGGAATTGATAAAAACAAAAATTCGATCTGTTGCTCAAAAAAACTTTACAAATGAAGATAGTAAAGATACAAATAATCTAATCCGAGAAGAATGTTACCGTTTGATAGAAAATGAGTTAAATCAATTTTCAAAGTTTAAAAATCAGAAACATTGCAAAAAATGTAAGGAAGTAATTGAGAAGAGAATCGAATTAGATCAATACCTTGAAAAGAAAAAGAATAAGTGTAAAGAAGAGACTAATCAAACGATTGATAAGTATATTGATCAGTATCGTGATTTAATACTCATAGAGCTTAAACAAATGATTGAGGCTATTTTAATACGAAATAAACTTTCAAATGAACATCAAAAATTTATTGACAATCAACTTGAAAATGTTTTAAAAATGCGGAAGAAACTTTCCAATCAAAAAGACCTTGAACAAGAAGCAAATAAAATATGGGAATCATTATATCAAGAAATATCAATATCACTAAATAATAAAGACTCAACTATTGATGAAAAAATAAATAGTGAAGTACTTGAGATATATAAACATTATGATCATTTTAATTATAAGAAATTTTGGAGTAATTATTTTGATAGAATCATTCCAGATTTATCTAAGATAGGGGCATATAACCTTTTTGACCAGCTTAGAAATTTAAAGTGGACACATTATCTTGATCAAAATAACATAACGGTACTCAAAGAAAAAATCAATAGTATGATAAATCAAACTTTAGACGGAGTAGATCATTTTTGTAATGGAATTGTGCGTAATCTTAGAGGTGAAATTGATAAAATGTTGAATGAACTTTCAGATTTGTGGAAAATAGAAATTAAGCTTAAATTTAAAATGAATGTTCACGTATATGTATTGTTGAATTTTATTAAGAGAATGGTAAAAATTCAGAACATATGGGATAAGGACAATACACCGCTTGGAGTACTTAATCAAAAGAAAGATGAATATTTAAAAAAGATTAATATTCGTCTTCAATACGGGCATTCACATATATCTGAAGGTCATATTGCGGGTGATTTCTTGTTGAGAGCTATTCAAAAAAAAGCGATAAATGCAGAAAATTATGATCGAATAAATTCTTTACGCGGCAAAACTTGGATAAACAGTTCCAAAACAGTTAGACTTAAATATTTTATTGAACTTGCTGAACATGTCCATAACGGTAACCTAAATCAAGGTGTTCAGCACTTTTTAAGACCACGTGAAAGTATTGAAGAGTGGTTTAAAAATAAAGTTAGTTTAGATAAAAGAACAAATCAAGGACAAAGTTATAAAGAAACTTTTGATACTGAATTTGATGATGTCCGTCAGAAAATTCATAATTGTAAAACTTATGAAGATGTCAAAATGTTTGTAAACAAATACATGATACAAGTTGACGGTATTGAATACCAATTGAATGTTAAAGACAATTCAATTACTGAAAATTTTACATTATTCCGTGATGCTATAGAGAAAGAGCTTGATGCAGAGAAAGAACTCAGTGCCAGAGGAAATGGTCGTTATCGATTAAAAAATGAATTATTAAAAAACCCATCTGATGATAATTTAATTATGAAAAATATCGGATGCACAACGCCGTGCCCCTGGTGTGGAGCTTTGTGTTGGGGAGTAAGAGGTCATGATAAAGATACTGGCATTACAAAAATTCATCACACTAGCCATCAGCCACCAGGCCTTAATGGGGTCAGTTATAGAGACTCAAATACACTTACTGCGAAGGCCTGTCATAACTATTTAGATGAAGACGAAGTATATCTTTGTAATGTACGTAAAAAATGGAAAGTTCTAAAAACTCAAGATTACCCAGATTGGAAATTTGAACCCCACTGTATGAATGTTTTTAATGATATTATGCGTTGGTTTTTTCAAATGCTTCATGAGGACATAGCAAAAGCTCGAGACCTTAAGGCAGCACATGTATCAGAATTAAAAGAAATGGTTGTTTTTACAATAATTATAATAACATAATCAGTGTATTAAAGCAAGAATTTGACTAATTTCTATAGCATTTAATATGATTTGATTTTGTATGACAATCATTCATTTTCGAATTTTTTTTTTATTTAAGGCTATCATTATGTATTTTGAATATTATACCGTATTTTATATTAAATAAAGATATGTGATTACTTAAAAGCCTTTCTTAGCGGAGTTTTTCATATTATCAAAATGTAAGATAATTTAATCAGCAAACGACCATAAGGGATAGTGTAGATGATATAGTGATGATCACTAATTATTAAGAATATATTGAATAATTTATAAAAAATCAAATTTACTATGCCTTTAATTCCTCTCGTAATATTTAAAATTTTTTAACCTATAAAAGCAAAATGGTTTTAAAAAATCATCATTATATCGCAACAATGGCAGAATTTTATTTTACTAATTCAACTATATTATAGGCTAAAACATCGCCAACGGTTTACTATGTTTAACATAATGCAGGCCACATAGTAAATCGTTGGCTGGATTTTAACTCATAATATATTTTAATTGTGAATAGAATTCCGACATTATTATGATATAATGATGCTTTTTTTAAGCCATTTTGCTTTTATAGGTTTAAAAATGTTAAATATTACGAGAGGAATTAAAGGCGTAGAAATTCGATTTTTTTTTACAGGGGGGGTGACAAAAATATTTTCACACCTAAGGACTTAGCTTATAACTCAAAAACTTACTAATTAACTTATGTTCTTGACTTGACTATATGAAACGTAATCTCTTGATAATTATGTCATATCAATTTTAGATCATATACTTGCATAATTAGCAAGTTATTTAACTTTACTTTTAGGGCTTTGATAAATTTGGTAAGAGTTTATGTTTCTGTGCAAATATTTCAACAACTATCAATCCAATTTCAATGATATTTTACTATTTTATAGACAAAGTTTTTCTCTATCTTCTTTTTTTTTTTTTTTTACGGTTTATAGAATGACCTCATTGGTCGGGGGTTTTCCCTTTATTATTAAAGTATCTACAG